CTGGTCTGGAACTCCTGACCTCAGGCAATCCATCCACCTCTGCCTCCCAAAGTGCTGGGATTACAGGCATGAGCCACCATGCCCAGCCAACGATTAGATATTTAGACAGACAGCCTGTGGCCTCTGTTCAGAGGTTTGTGCCTGGTGGGGACAGGGTACTTTACAAAAGTCATCTAATTCCCGCCGACTGGGAGATACTCCTGTGTTCCTCTGCGTGAATGTCACATGTTTGGGCAGGATACAGGCAGAGCTGGGGTGCCTTTTCATTCATGGCTATTTCCTGAGCACCCACTGTATGCCCGGCACTGTGCCAGGCACCGGGGATTCAATGTGAACAAGCATAGTCCCCACCCTCAGGGGGTCCATGAGTTCATGAGAGAGATGAGGAATGAACAGGAATGGTAACACAGGTGCTACTCTGTGCTGGTGGAAGTCTGGGGTGCTGGAGCCATCAAGGGAAATGGGTCTGTAACAGGAGTGGGGTGGGGCTCAGGGACAGCTCCCTGGAGCAGGTGATGCCTAAGAGGGTGGGTGGGCTGTGGGAAGAGGAGGTGCCATAGCCCAGGAGGGGACAGAGCGATGAGCTTTATGCTCCGCAGAGTTGGGACCAGGACCTGGGAGGGAGAGGGGAGGGCTGAGGCTGGGCCTCATGGGTCCTGAGCCTGAGTCCTTGAGGGCCTCTGGAGGGTGTGCTGGGAAACAGGGACTCTGAGTTGGGTGGAAGGGCCAAGTGGATGGGGTGGTCGCCTCCCTAGGCATGGTACGGGATGTGAGAGCCCACCAGACCTGTACCCCCAGTGCTAAGTATGGCAGGGCCCCCGGCAGCTGGGCCTCCTCCCGCCCCATGTGTCTGCGTCCCTCCCACAGGTAGACCCCTACCTACCTTACGAGTACACCTGCGAGGGGATGCTGGAGCGGATCCACGCCTACATCCAGCACCAGGTCGGTGAGCCCTCTGTGTCTGCCCCAGACCCCTCAGACTAGAGGAGAGGGCTGAGTGAGCTTCGTGATCTGCCCAGGGCCCTGCACCCTGAGACCATCCAGCTCCCTGCTCCCTCCTCCAGCCTGTCCAGGCTGTTTTCCCAGAGTTCCCTCAGGGCTGGAGACAGGCAGGCCTGACCACGGGCGGGCGTGTTCATCGCCCCTGCCCTGGGCCCAGCTCTAGAGCCCAACTCCACGGCACTCAGAAACACAAAGACTTTCATTCTTAGAAAACAGTGGTTTGAAAGTCTGGTAACTGATTGGGATTTTGTAACTGAATGGGAAGTGAAGATCCCCTGCCCACCCGCTAAGGATGACAGTGAGACCAAAATGGGAGGTGAAGATCTCTGCCCTGAGAAACCAGAGGAGAGCCCCACTATGGCAAAAGCTCGGCCACCCCAGCCCCTGAGGGAGCGTCCAGGCAAGCAGCTGTCCCAGGAGGACACTCCCTTCTCCTCCCTCGGGTGCTCAGAGTGCCTGGAAGTCGTGGGTGAGGAGGAGGGCGTGCCCTATCCTGGCCCCTGCTTCGTGCCAGTGGATCTAAGCCACCATAAGGGCTGCAGGTGGGTCAGACAGCACGGCTCTGCAGGCTCTGGGTCTCCAGGGTGATGCCTGGAGTGGGCCTTGGGCTCAGGGCCCTCGGGCAGGTGGCTGTATGGCTGTTAGCAATTTCCACGAATAGGCTGGGTGTGGTGGCTCACGCCTGTAATCCAAGCACTTTGGGAGGCTGAGGTGGGCAGATCACGAGGCTGGGAGATCAAGACGATCCTGACTAATATGGTAAAACCCAGTCTCTACTAAAAATACACACACGTACACACATACACACACACACACACACACTAGCCGGGCGTGGTGGCACACACCTGTAGTCCCAGCTACTTGGGAGGCTGAGGCAGGAGAATCGCTTGAACCTGGGAGGTGGTGGTTGCAGTGAGCCAAGATTGTGCCGTTACACTCCGGCCTGGGTGACAGAGTGAGACTCCATCTCAAAAGAGAAAAAAAGAAATTTCTGTGGGCATGTGGCCTCTCCGTCTTATCCTTGGCCCCACCAATATTAGGGGCCGAGAGGGTCCGGTTCTTCCTTGTCATTTTACAGATGGGAATACTGAGGCCCCCAGAAGGGAGGGCATGCTGAGGTCACAGGGTGAGGGTCCAGGGCCGTGGCCAGAACCCAGGACTGTACCCAGACACCTGTGGTGGCATCCTGCAGGAAGCTCAGAAGAGCATCCGTGGGGCCCTCCAGCCCCTGGAGTTGAACCCTGCAGGGAGAGCCTCACAGCCAGCCTGGTCCCTGTCCCCATGGTGGGCAGGGCTCGTGGGCCCTAGGGTAGAAACCAGAGCCTGACCTGAGCATCAAGACAGCTCCAGGGCAGACAGGATGCAGAGGGCCCTGAATCCAAGTCCTGCTCTGCCGTCCAACCCCAAAGCCCTGGGCAGGCGCTGTGACCTCTCAGCCTCCATTCTCCCTGTAAGTGACCTGGAGACACGGGTGTCCATTGGAAGTCAATGAAATAATGCAGGTAAAGCTACCTGGTATTCAGTAAGTGCCCATTAGTGGTAGCTGGTATTGTGGCTTGTACCAGCAGGGCCACACCTTCAGGTGACCCCGGGTGCACCTGGCTGGCATTTCCCCACCTAACGCTGCTCCCCTCCTCGCAGGACTTCTGCACAGCTCCAGACCCTGCCCCACAAGGGGCCCATGCCCTGCAGAGCCCTTTTGTCCTGGCCCCAAATGCCACCCACTTGGAATGGGCTCAGAATGCCAGCTTGACTCCGGGGGCCTGGCCCCCCGTGAACTCCCTGCGGGCCTGGCTGGCAGTGCCTGGGAGGGCCTGCACCGACACCTGCCTGGACCACGGGCTGATCTGCGAGCCCTCCTTCTTCCCCTTCCTCAACAGCCAGGACGCCTTCCTCAAGTGAGTGTGGGCCCCCATCCCCAGCCCCCATCCTTGCTGGCCCAGCAGGCTCACCGTGAGCTCTCACGCCCAGAACTGGCCCTCAGCCCTGCCAGCGGTGGGGGATTTAATGCTTTCCAATGAGTCAGGAAGGACCCAGAAGGGACCCTCCAGGCCAACATCCAGGTCACTGCTGCCCCACTCTTGGCCAAGCCTTAAACTACAGGGGAGGCTCCTTCCAGTCCCTGCTCTCCTTCACCCACTCAGCCCCCTGCCCAGCATATTTGGGCATTGTCTAGCCCACACCATGAAAGCTGTCCTGGGTGTAACAGTAGGGAGTGTAGCACATCTCCTTACCCAGTCTGGGATGGGGATGGGCCAGAGAAGGGGAGCAGGCAGTGCTGGGCTGGGGGAAGCCCCTGGGGGAAGCCCCTACCCTTCAGCCCAAGCAACCAACACTGGGTGACAGTGCTGTGCGGTACGTGCCAGGCTGCAGGTGCCCTGTGACAGCACCGAGTCGGAGATGAACCACCTGTACCCGGCCTTCGCCCAGCCCGGCCAGGAGTGCTACCTGCAGAAGGAGCCCCTGCTCTTCAGCTGTGCTGGCTCCAACACCAAGTACCGCCGGCTCTGCCCCTGCCGTGACTTCCGCAAAGGCCAGGTGGCCTTGTGCCAGGGCTGTCTGTGAGGCCACCTCTGCCGCCGTGCCTGGCACCCACGGCTGGCTCTCCCCTGCCACAGGAGAGAGTACCAGAAGGTCCTGGGCTCCGGCTGCCTGTCCTCCTCGCAGCTCCACCAGGCCGGAGCTTCCTTCCTTCACCTGGAAGTGTCCAGAGGAGAGCCGTGCAGAGGAACAGGAGGCGGCGGCACACCGAGCCCCTGGGACCTCCCAGGCAGGCTCCTGGTTCTCTCTTGGGAACTCACAGCACCATCAAGGCCAAGCAGATGTTGGGCTGCTCAGAGAGTCTGCATGGCCCAGGAGCAGGTGGTCGAGGCCCCTTTCTTTGTGCAAGGCCGGATCTGGGCCAGGTGGAGAAGGGGCCCCAGTCATTCTTGGGCCCAGGATGGGGCCTCTGGACCTGCAAGGGAGGGGAGCAGGGACCAGGCTGCCCCACGGTCCCTGAAGGGTCCAAGGAGGGCCCCTCCCCATGGACCTGGATGGTACCTGCTCCAGGCAGGGGAAGTGAGGGCTTGCCCTCCTCTTGTGAGGGGAGCCAGGCACACAGGGCCCGCTGGCATTTGGGTTGTGGACGCAGGGGCGGGGGTGGGTGGAAGGCTAAGCCAAGGGGCCCTGTTCATGCCTCCCGTAGCCCCTTTCCTCCTGCCACCGTCCCTCTACACTTGGGGACCACAGTTAGGGTGCAGGAACCACCCAGGCCCTGGGCGAATTGTTTCTCTCCTGCTTGTTCCAACGCCTTTCACTCTGGGCTTCTCCCAAAACCCATCCTGGCATGACCCGCCACTCCAGACGGTGGATTTGTTCCAAAGCCTCAAGCCCTGCCCCCTCCAAGGGGAGGTTTCCACCCGTGCCTCAGAGAACAGGCTCTGGGACCCCCGCCTGGGGGTGGCCTTTGTGCACCAGGCACTCCCACGGATGCTGACTCCTTACCCCCCAGCGTCTTTCGCAGACAAGGGCTGGGGATGGAGCCTCAGCCCCATGGCACGCCGTGCCTAGTTTCCAGTTGCCCTGTCCGCTTACCCAGGCAGCCTCCAACCCCACCCATGTCAAGTCCTTGTCCCTACCTCCAGCCTCAAACCGCCTCGAGATCCAGCCGTCCTTCTCTGAGTGGCATGCCTGCCCCAGGATGCCCCCTTCCCCTCTCCCCACGCCCAGAGCCCCGCCTGCCTCAGCGGGTCAGGCCTTCAGAACACTGCCACCCACCCAGTTTTATAATCCTGCTCCCTCTCCCGGCAACCCCACCCACCAACCTAGGCCTGCTCCTCCGCCCTTCCCAGGAGGCAGCCCCAGGACACTGAGAGTTGGTGGAGGGGCCAGGCTGGACACTTCCCACAGGAGTCCCCTCCAGACCTGGCTGGCCCCTGCAGCCGCAGAAACCACGATGGCAAGAAACTCATTGGTTCCCAAGGATTGACCTGTGGGGGAGAGCAATAGAGACACTCTTTTTCTCTTTTTTTAAAGATTTATTTCTTGACATAATAAATATTTTATTGGGATGTGAGATGCAGAAGAGGAACGATGCTGGTTCTCATCTTTTCCTGCAGCACCCAGAGCTTGCCCAGGGTGGAGGGGCAGGTAGCTGGGGTCCCCAGGTTCTGCTGCATGTCACGTGGGGCACATGGGGTGCTCAGGTCTGCAGAGCTGGCCGCTGTCTGCTTCAGGTCACCCAAAGAAGTCCCTGCTGGTGGCAGAGACCCAGGGCCATCTCCTGGCTGTTCCCGAGCTGTGACTGCAGGCACCCTGACAAGCAGTGGCATACTCAGTCATGTCCACCTTGGGCCGGCCTCTGCCCGCCTCCAGCTGGCTGCGACAGTGGCAGCGTGGGGTCAGAGAACACAAATCCATTTCGATAAGAGCCTGAGCCGGATAATGAGAAAATGAGCCAGTGTTTACCACCTCGGGCACTGGGCTGAGTTTGTCGCTTGCTTCAGTGGTCATTTCCTGCACTCAGCTGCCCTAGCAGGTAAGTGCTATTATATGAATCTTTCCATTTTACATAGAGAGGCACAGAGAGTTCAAATAACTTGCCCAAGGTCGCACAGCTTGTAAGCAGGGAGGTGGGATTTGCTATAAAATGGGGATCACAGCCGGGCACGAAGGCTCACACCTGTAATCCCAGCACTTTGGGAGGCTGAGGCGGGTGGATCACGAGGTCAAGAGATCGAGACCTTGCTGGTAAACACGGTGAAACCCCCGTCTCTACTAAAACCACAAAAAATTAGCTGGGCATGGTGGCGCGTGCCTGTAATCCCAGCTACTCAGGAGGCTGAGGCAGGAGAATTGCCTGAACCCAGGAGGCGGAGGTTGCAGTGAGCCGAGATCGCGCCATTGCACTCTGGCCTGGGTAACAAGAGCGAAACTCCGTCTCAAAAAAAAAAAAAAAATTAGCTGGGTGTGGCAGTGGGCACCTGTGGTCCCGGCTACCCGGGAGGCTGAGGCCAGAGAATGGCTTGAACCCAGGAGGCAGAGGTTGCAGTGAGCCGAGATCACCGTACTGCACTCCAGCCTGGCCACAGAGCGAGACTCCGTCTTGAAGAAAAAAAAAAAAAAAAAAAATCAGGGGGATCGTTTTCAAGTTGCGGTGAGGAGCAGATGACTGGCCAGAGTGACAGCCCAGTGTGATGACAGCACCTGCACTGTCTGTGCTTCAGGTTTATGTGATCCTGTATTTCAGTCACTGCAAAATCAGGGCCTTCCTTCCAGCCAAGGGTTCTCTGCTGGGACAGTTTTGCTCCTGGGAGGACAGCTGGCACTGTGCTGTGTTGGATCGTCGTGACCTGAGACACGGGTGGCATGCCATTGGGGTAGGGTCCAAGGAGGCTGGCAGCATCCTCCAGTGCACGGGACAGCCCCCCCTCCCCCACAGGATGATCTGGCCTGAAGCGTCAGCAGCAACAAGCTTAACACACCCTGTTCCAGGCCCGTGGTTCTCAAATTTTGGCTTGCATCAGAATCACCTGATTCGTGAGCTTACTAAAACACAGGTTGCTGGGTCCCACCCCTAGAGTTCCTGATTCAGCAGGTCTGGGGCTGGGCCCTGGGATTTGAGTCTTTAATAAGCTCCAGGTGGGCGGGAGGATTGCTTGAGCCCAGGAGTTTGAGACCAGTCTGGGCAACATAATGAGACCTTGTCTCTACAAAAGAAAAAGAGGCCAGGCACGGTGGCTCACGCCTGTAATCCCAGCAGTTTGGGAGGCCAAGGCGGGTGGATCACCTGAGGTCGGGAATTCGAGACCACCCTGAGTAACATGGAGAAACCCCATCTCTACTAAAAAATGCAAAATTAGCTGGGCATGGTGGCGCATGCCTATAATCCCAGCTACTCGGGATGCTGAGATAGGCGAATTGCTTGAACCTGGAGGCAGAGATTGTGGCGAGCCGAGATCGTGCCATTGCACTCTAGCCCAGGCAACAGTGCATGACTCTGTCTCAAGAAAAAAAAGAAAAGAGAGCCAAGCTTTTGGCTGAGGGGGGAGGATGGCTTGAGCCTAGGAGTTTGAGGCTGCAGTGAGCCATGATTGTGCCACTGCACTGCAGCCTGGGCAACAGAGCAAGACCTTGTCTCAAAAAAAAGGCCATGCGTGGTGGCTCACACCTGTAATCCCAGCACTTAGGAGGCCGAGGCTTGAGTTGTAGACCAGCCTGGGTAACATAGACCTCATCTCATAAAAAAAGAAAAAAAAAAAAACAACTTCCGGTGCTGCTGCTGCTACAGGGGGGCCGGGGCCCACACTTTGAGAACAGCTGGTCTAGACCAAGCAGATACTAGTAGGTATTTCAAACATGAGAGCACCAATAACACGGTACCAGTTTTTAATTGATTACGTTTACAGGTAACAGTGACTGTGGCCATTTTCTTCTGTTCCAGCATGTCATACCAGGTGAGAGACCTCATACAACCAAATCTGCTCACAGAGATCAAAGCCACAGGCCATCAGAATTCCTCTTGTCCCTTCATTTTACAGATGGAGGCCAGAAGAGTCCAGGGGCCTGATCCCTACCGTGTAGCTGGAGGAAGAGCCTAGATCTTGTGGTTTTTTTTTTGTCCTGAGACTGGGTCTTGCTGTGTCCCCCCAGACTGGAGTGCAGTGGTGCGATCTCAGCTCACTGCAACCTCTGCCTCCTGGGCTCAAGCGATTCTTCTGCCTCAGCCTCTCGAGTAGCTGAGATTTCAGACATGCGCCACCACGCCCGGCCAGAGCCCTGATCTCAGTTCCTCTCTGCTATGCTGCTTAAAAGAGGCTGAGAAAGAATAGCTGAACCAGGCATTTTCCATGGTCTTGTGCAGCAGGAGGGTGGGTGGGGCTCAGAAACCTGGCCAAAGCCTTCTTTCAGAAACTGAGCCTAGTTTAAAAAAAAAAAAAAAAAAAAAAAAAGCCAGGTGTGGTGCCTCACACCTGTTGTCTCAATGTTTTTGGGGGGCCAAGGTGGGAGAATCTGAGGTAAAAGGATCACTTAAGGCCAGGAGTTCAAGCAACATGGCAAGATCCCATCTCTACACAAATTATTTCTATTTTTTTGAGATAAGGTCTTACTTTGTTGCCCAGGCTGGAGTGCAGTGACGTGATCTCAGCTCACTGCAACTTCTGCCTCCCGGGTTCAAGTGATTCTCCTGTCTCAGCCTCCTGAGTAGCTAGAATTACAGGCACCTGCTACCACACCCGGCTAATTTTTGAATTTTTAGTAGAGACGGGGTTTTACCATGTTGACCAGGCTGGTTTCAAACTCCTGACCTTAGGTGATACACTCACCTTGGCCTCCCAAAGTGCTGGGATTACAGGTGTGAGCCACCACACCTAGCCTACTAAAAATTAGCCAAGTGTGGTGGCAGGTGTCTGTGATCCCAGATACTCAGGAGGCTGAGGTGGGAGGATCACCTGATCACTTGAGCCCAGGAGTCCCAGGCTGCAGTGAGCTATTATGCCGCACCACTGCACTCTAGCCTGAGTGACAGAGTGATACCCTGTCTCCAAAAAACAAACAAACAAACAAAGACTATTTTTTGAGCAGTTTTAAGATCATAGCAAAGTTGGGTGGAAGATATGGAGATTTCCCATGTGCCACCTCACCCACATATGCAGGTCAGCCCGCCAGTCATCCGCATCCCCTACCAGAGTGGGCCATGTGTTCCAATCTATGAGCCAACACTGACGTATCATCAGCAGCCAAACATGGTGGTGTATATTCTACGTGTTTTCACAAATCTTTCATAAGATGTATCCACTATTACCGCACCATACAGAGTGGTTCCATTGCCCAGAAAATCCTCTGTGCTCCTCCTATACGTCCCTCCCTCCTCCTCACCCTGGAAAACCACTGCTCTTATGACCGTCTCCATAGTTTTACCTTTTCCAGATCATCACATAGTTGGAGCTTTAAGTCTGTAGCCTCTCAGATTGGCTCCTTTCCCCTGGTAACATGCATCTAAGATTCCTCCACATCTCATGGCTTGATGCCTCATTTCTATTTAGCACTGAATAATATTCCATTGTCTGGATGTATCGCAGTTTGTTTACAAATTCACCTACCAAAGGACATCTTGGTTGCCACCAAGTGTTGGCAGTTATGAATAAAGCTGTTATAAACGTTCACGGCCAAGTTTTTGACTGGAATCCATTTTCTTTTTTGCTTATAACAATCACAGTCATTTATTTTGCTCGCAGAGCCGCAATTTGGGCAGGGCTTGGTGGAGGTAGTTCATCTCCGCTTCACGTGGCATCAGCTGAGGTGGCTCGCCCGGAGGCTGTAGAATCACTTCCAGGACAGCTCACTCATGTGGCTGGCAAGTTGGTGCTGTCTGTCAGCTGGGAGCTCAGCAGGGGATTTGGGCTGGGGGCTGTGGTTCCCCTCCATGCGGGCCTTTCCAAGGCCTGATTGTGCTTCCTCCCAGCACGGCGGCTGGGTTCCAAGAGTGAACATCCCAGGAGAGCAAGGTGGAAGTGAAAGGCATTTTTTTTTTTTTAACTGGCTTTGGAAGCCACACACTGTCAAGGCTGGCACACTCTATTGGTCAAGAGAGTCACAAAGGCCCTCCTGCTGCAGCTCACGGGGAGGGGACATAGATGCTACCTCTCAACAGGAGGAGTGTCAAAGTCACAGAAGCAGCACTCGTGGAATGGGACATAGTGTGGCCTCTATCTTTGGAAAATATAATCTGCCAAAGATGCATCTTGGTCTTCCAGCATTTCAGGATGGTTGCCCTCATCCGGTCCAAGATGGCTCCCTTCTAAGGCCTCATTCCATCCAATGAAAGAGAAAGAGGGAGAGTCATCTCGCACCGCTTCTGATCGTGTTCCATTGGCCAGCGCTGAGTCACGTGGGCATACCGAGGTTTACCCGTTTATGGTAAAGGTCTTTGCTAAGGATACAGATGAAGAGTTACATAGGGTGAGGTATGGAGGAGGGGACACAGAACTTCCATGCCCTCCCTGGACGGCCACCTTCCAGGAACCTCCACACGTTCCGCCATCCAGAAGTTCCTGGACACAGTTTCCAACTGATTCAGGTAAATGCCAAGGAGTACGATTGCTGGATCCTATGGTAAAAGTATATTCAGCTTTGTAAGAAACTGCCAAGCTGTTGGCTGTAGCATTTTGAATTACCAGCCCTGAATGAGAATCCCTGCTGCTCCACAGTCTCACCAGCATTTGAGGCTGTCAGTGTTTTGGTTTTGGGCCATTCTGATGTGCAGCGGTATCTCATTGCTGTTTTAATTTGCATTTCCCTGATGACATATGATGTGACACATTATTTGCCATCTGTGTATCGTCTTTGGTGAGGTGTCTATTCAGGTCTTTTGCCCATTTTTTAATTGAGTTGTTTCCTTACTGTTGAGCTTTAATAGGTCTTTATGTATCAGACTACTTTTGAATCCTGTCTGAACGTTTTTTTTGAGATGGAGTCTCGGTCTGTCACCCAGGCTGGAGTATAGTAGTGTGATCTCGGTTCACTACAACCTCCGCCTCCTGGATTCAAGTGATTCTCCTGCCTCAGCCTCCCTAGTAGCTGGGATTACAGGGGCACGCCACCACGCCTGGCTAATTTTTGTATTTTTAGTAGAGACGGGGTTTCGCCATATTGGTCAGGCTGGTCTTGAACTCCAGACCTTGTGATCCACCTACCTCAGCCTCCTGAAGTGCTGGGATTATAGGCGTGAGCCACTGTGCCCGGCCTGAACTTTTAAATGAAGCTGGAGGGGCAGGCTGGCTGGCAGCAGGGCGAGAGAAGTTGGGATTAGAAATAATTTGCAGCCCAGATGCAAGACCAGATGTCAGTGCCAGGCAGAGCTGCAACTCCCAGGCCTTCCTCCAAAGCTGGCCATGCCTCCTTCAGCCCTGAACAGTAGATGGAAGGGCAGGCATGGCCGGCCTCACCACCACCCTGCCAGATGACCACCCCTCCCCACTCACAGGTGAGGAGACAGGTGTGATGAAGCCCCTCAGTCCATGGACTCACCTGAGGAGCCAATAAACCCCAAACCAAAATATCTAGGCGGGGCCAGGTAAAGCGGCTCACACCTGTGATCCCAGCACTTTGGGAGGCGGGGCCAGGTAAAGCGGCTCACACCTGTGATCCCAGCACTTTGGGAGGTGGGGCCAGGCACAGTGGCTCACACCTGTGATCCCAGCACTTTAGGAGGCAGGGCCAGGTAAAGCGGCTCACACCTGTGATCCCAGCACTTTGGGAGGCGGGGCCAGGTAAAGTGGCTCACACCTGTAATCCTAGCACTTTGGGAGGCCAAGGCGGGCAGATCACTTGAGATCAGGAGTTTGAGACCAGCCTTAACAACATGGAGAAACCCCATCTCTACTAAAAATACAAAAATTAGCTGAGTATGGTGGCACATGCCTGTAATCCCAGCTACTGGGGAGGCTAAGGCAGGAGAATCACTTAAATCCAGGAGGCGGAGGTTGTGGTAAGCCGAGATCTTACCATTATACTTCAGCCTGGGCAACAAGAGCAAAACTCCATCTAAAAAAAAGGGGGCTTCCAGAGACCCCATGTGTTCCCTCACCCCACTTTCCACCTTCCCACACCCTACCCCGGGGAAGATCTGATCTCCAGGGGGAACAGCCTGGGGCAATTTGGGGTCTTATAAAAGAGGTCTGCAGGGTTTACTCACCCCTTTCTGCCACACCGGTTCCTCCATGTCCTGTCCTAGCGCTAAAAGGGAATCGACATATTCTCTTAAAGTGGGGAGTCCTCCTTTCAGGACTGTGCTGGGAGAGGCTGCCCTGCTCCTCCGTGGCTGTGCAGGTGCAGTCCCCACCGCCCCATCCCGACAAGCCCAGCTTGGAAGGGAAGACGGGATCAAAGCCCTGTCACAGTTCTTGCCAGAGCACCGAGTTCCTGGCCGAGCTGGCACCCAGCGCCCCACCCTGCCACTGCGAGACTTCCTCTTGGTTTGCACTTCTGCTTCCTCCTCTGTAAAAACAAGGGACATCGTCCTGGATCACAGGTGTTTTGAGGAGTAAAGGGGCAAGGCAGGTAAGCCTCCAGGTGCTGCCCCTGAGAGGAGGCAGATGTTGATGGCTGCGGGACACTCAGCTGCTCTCAGGAGCCTCGCTGTCTCCAGCGAGGACAGGACATGGAGGAACCGGTGTGGCAGAAAGGGGAACTGCCACCCTCCTGGCAGGAAGGCACAGTAAGGCTCAAGTGGGTCCTGGCTCCCAGCCTGCTGCCACCCACGATTGGAAACCCCAAACCTAGGAGGCCTTCTCCTCACTGCAGCTTCTGAGGGTGGCTGTCCTTGGGCAGAAGAACATAGAAGATGCTGTGGGTTATGTTTCCCCCCGAAGACATACTGAAGACACCTGTGGTGCCTGTGAGCAGGACCTCACCTGGAAACAGGGAGTTTTGCAGACGCTCATCAGTTTGAGAAGAGGTCACACTGGGTCAGCATGGGCCATAAGTCCAATGACAGGTGTCCTCATGAGGAGAGGACCGGAGACACACAGGGAGGAAATCCCTGTGAAGACAGAGGCAGAGGTCAGAGCCATGCAGCTGCCCCAACACATGCTAAGGACTGCTGGTGACCGCCGGAATCTGGGAGGGCAAAGAAGGGCCCTTCTTCAGCACCTTCGGAGGGAGCACGCCCCACCGGCGCCCTGATGCTGGACTTCCAGCCTCCAGAACGGTGAGGAAATAGCTTCTGTTGGTTTAAGCTGCAGCGCGTGGTAACTTTATAACAGCCACAGGAAGCGCATTCAGAAGGGGTCAGACTCACCACCTTTCAAGATAGTAGCAGAGGCCGGGCCCTGCATCCTGAGTCGGGAGTCAAAGGGCCCCCAGCCAGGCCGCTGGCTCCAGTGTGCAGCCCGTGTTGTCATATCACAGAAAAGCCTCAAAGAAAAAAGATCAGTTCCCCCGCCCCAAATAAACACCCACAATACAGACCTTCAGGGCACCTGGGGTGCAGAATCCAGGCAATCACAGCAGGGAAAGGGGGCGGTCCCCAACCCTGACTTTTCAGGTGGGTTCTGTGCTCCTCTGGGACCAGCCCCTCCCGCTCCGAGTCAGCCTGAGATCATCTCCCTCTGACGTCGGTGCCGTCCGCATAGATTTGAATATTGGGCTCAAGAGACCGTGATTCAGGGGAACGGTGCAGCTGGTTCCCCTTGATGTTGGGGCATGAAGCCAACAGTGCATGTTCTCCCCATCAACTCCCAGCTCCCACAGCTGGCCCTGGCTGCCCAGGCCTGACTGCCAGCTGCCTCTTCCTTAGATACCCTTTTTGGGGGGTCTTCTCCAGCCTGGGGCCCCGTGGAGCAGCCCAGGGCTGGGTGGGATTGGACTTTCAGGGTGCTGGGAGAGTTTTGGGCTAGGGTCTGAGCTGTGGGAGGGCTCCTTGAGCCCACAGGAGATACCCCTGAACCCCATGGCTCCCCCAGCCCCGTGCCGGTGCCCACCCCATCCTGCAGCCCTGGTACAGGTGGAAGGTGGGTGGAGATTGGGAATTCCTCGGCTTTGTCTCAAGCTGGATTTAGACACCCTCACTTTCCCCATCACCACCCATTCAGCAAACATTCCCCCAGCAGCAGTGCTGGGTGAGGCACCAGGCCTGGAAGATACAGTCTCCTGTCTGGTCACTGTGTCCTGAGCCCCCATGTCCAGGGCCGGGGCCTGCTGGGGACTCAGTGGGGCTCCTGAATCTGATGGTGCCTGGTTTTCATCAGTTCTGGAGACCACTCTGCTACTGTCTCCGATCTCCCTTCTTCCACAGTGACAGACCAGCCTCCCCGTCTCCCCGTCCTGGGGCTGGGCATTTTGCTCTGTCCTTCCACAGAGGCCAAAGTCCTGAGGGGCCTGGCTTTATGCAGGGGTCTTGATTCTGCATGTCCATCGCTGAGTCCACACCTCATTTCCATGGAAGAGTCAAAGTCCAAGCCCCAGACCCCAGAGCCGGGGAGCCTCAGCCTATGTGGGCCACACTCACGTGGCCACCGGCTGGTTTCCAGCGTCCTGGTGCACTTGGGTCCTTGGGTTTCCCCTCCTTCCTGCAAACTCAGCCCTGCTTTCAGCTGGATATGGTTGTTTGTGGTGGTCCCTTCCCTTCCCCTCTCCCTCCTCCCCCTTTCCTCCCTCTCTCCCTCCCCCCTTCTTTTCCCCTTCTCCCCTCTCCCCTCTCCTCTCCTTTCCTACTGAGTCTCTCTCTGTCACCAGGCTGGAGTGCAGTGACGCAATCCTGACTCGCTGCAATCTCCACCTCTGGAGTTCGAGCCATTCTCCTGCCTCAGCCTCTCGAATAGCTGGGATGACAGGCATGCACCACCATTCCTGGCTATTTTTCTGTATTTTTAGCAGAGACAGGGTTTCACCATGTTGACCAGGCTGGTCTTGAACTCCTGACCTCAAGCGATCCGCCGCCTTGGCTTCCCTAAGAGCTGGGGTGACAGAGCGGTTTCTTTTGTTTTCTGGTGTTTTGTGAAGAAAGGCCCCGCAGCTCCAGTGCCTGAAATAGGACGAAGTATTAACCCTCCCAGAAGCGCTTTCATGTAAAGAGTGGCTTCTCTCCTGGGGCACAACAAAGAACATGGCTCATGGAGTCGGACGGCCCGGGGTCCAACCCTGTTTTGAGTCCCCATCACTAGCTGGGACCCACAGAGTTTACAGCTCTGAAATTTTGTTCCATCGCCTGGTTAAATGGGGACAATACCACTGTTTTGGAAACAAGTGGCCATAAATTTAGTGGCTAAAATTACACAATATATCTTACAGTCCTGAACATCAGAAGTCCGGAACAGCCCTCACTGGACTAAAATCCCTGTGCCAGCAGGGCTGTCTGCGTCCCTCCCGGAGGCTGTAGGGGAGAACACATTTTCTTCCTCTTCTGTTTTCTAGAGGCTGCCTGCACTCCCTGGTTCTTGGCCCGTTCCTGCATCTTTAGAGCCAACAATAGCCCGTCGAGTCCTTCCTGTGTCTCATCCCTTTGCCCCTGACTCTCCTGCGTCCCTTTTTGTGCATCAAAGCCTTAAAAACACATGTCCTTTGATAAGGTAATCTGTCACCCAGGCTGGAGTGCACTGGTGTGAGCACAGCTTACTGCTGCCTCAATTTCCCAGGCTCAAGTGATCCTCCCACCTCAGCCTCCCAGGTAGCTTGGACTACAGGTATGCACCTCCATGCCTGGCTAATTTTTGTATTTTTAGTAGAGATGGGGTTTTGTCGTGTTGCCTGGGCTGGTCTCGAACGCCTGAGCTCAAGCCTTCTGGCCGCCTCGGCCTCCCAAAGTGCTGGGATTGCAGGCATGAGCCAC